TTTTTTTTTTGTTTTTTTTTTGTTTTTTGGTTATATTAGTCCAACATAATATATATTTCGCATGGAATGGGAGAATATCTCGTTACAAAATTATATTATCCATTATTTTGATAATCAAGCTTGTGGTTATTGCTTATTTTTCTGTAAAATCTCTTTCTTGCTCAAGCATACTCGAACAATAAAGAAAAAGTTTTATATTCGTAGACAGATAATTTTAAATATAACTAAATTAACTACGTAACTATTATCGTTGAAAAGTTCTACATTAATGCATTAAGTATTATTGGTAATAATATTGAATATAGTCATTGCGCAATGAGTAAAATTAATTAAATAATGACATTTAGTTATTGAAACATTGTTAGTTGTAAAAAAAAAAATAATAATAATAAAGATAGAGTACCCCATTTATACAAAGAATCCTTTCAAGTGTTAAAAACTATAGAAATATTAAAAGATTAATAATCGAATGCGAGATATATAAATGTCCATGTGGATGTAAATCAATAGTGAGATATCTTTCTTATTAAAAAAAAAAAAAAAACTTTGTTTCGAATTTAAGTGTAATTTCATTAGATTTTGCATCATTACAAAAACATTTTCTAATACAAGTAAAATAGTGCATGGCTATATTATAAAAATTAACATTTAATTGACATAATACAAAAGATGAAATAAATTAGATACATAAATAAGAATACTTATTTTTTACAATTTAAGTACTTTAAGTTTTAAATTTGCACCTAAAAGCATACATAATGAGACGTCAAATACTTATTTTTGTAGGTATTTACAAAAAATTGCTTTAGAATTATTAAATATTTATATATTATAAGACAACCTATTGTATAATGCATATTAACTATATAATTATTATTCTAATTAATATTTGGATTATATTAGAGAATAATATAACTCTAGGATTTTCAAACTATTGATTGTTTAAAATTGAATAAAATAGTTAACGGCTTATGAAATATGGCAATACGATGATTATTTATATAAAATTCCATTTTGTTTCTTTTTTATCTTCCCTATTAAACTTCACTATGTATTTAGAATCATTAAAATGTTAAAGTATTTATACTATTGTTAATATATAAATAAAAAGTGTAAATTGATGATATGCATTATGGATTAATAGGAATTAGGATGGAATATGAATGTACATTTTTCTTCTTGTAGTTTTTTTTTTTTTTTTTTTTTTTTAAAAAAACTTGTTTTAATATAAATAATCCACATACAAAAACGCTAAATTCTACGTCGCATAATAATCCGTTCGCAACGTATCCCTAATTTGGTGAATTTAATTAATCGAAGATATAGCAAGTAATGTACAGTTTTTTTTTTTCGTATTCAAGCCGCAGGCCAACTTCGATAAACCGACAACCATTCCGTATTGGCTGTTAAAAGCACAAATTGCAAACATTTCCTTCTATCCTCGCTTTTATTTTAGTAGTTAGACCGATTGGCAATATTAACGTATTCCTCCCAAACATGTAATGCACATTTCGGCGACGTCCAGCTGAGATCGGTCGAGTGTCGATGGTTGCAGCTCAGCTTAACGATAAATGTGGCCCTTAACTTATGCCCGATGATGTTCATTTCGTACGAAATCGACGCTTGAGAGTCCGCCGTCGCCATTTATTAGCACTTCGCCTGATGTAGTGAAGATGCTCGGCGTCGCGCTGGCAGGAGGTTTGCGACATTTACGAAACTGCGGAGAACAGCGTACTTAGGACGAACCAACTGAGCCTTAGGAAAGCGCAGGCTAAAAAGACTTTGACCGCTTGATGAATCCAGTACATTCTGTGATGAAAGATAAGATTTTATTTTTAATAAATGGATAATGTTAATGTTGGAAAAATATAAGGTCTTTGTAATTTATAGTTAATTCATTGTTTGGGAGAATGAAATTTGGGTAACAGAATAAAGCCAGATATACCGCTTCATGACTTTTACTTATATAATGAAGACAAGTTGCTCAAAAAGGGTTGGAAATAAATTTGTCCTGGTATAATCAATTATTAGAAGCTCTAGCTGAACTTTCACATTAGGAAATTGGCCTTTAAAAATTCATGATCGGAAAACATATGAAATAAGATTTATTTCATTATTTATTTTAACAGTAATCGACTATTAAAATAACGGATTCATTATTCAGATTTAATGTGGAATCACAAACATAAATTATTAAGTAAAATTGAAATTTCAGTTTGATATTTTTCTTACGTGTAAACATTAAAATGGAAATTCAAATCGCTTTATGCAATAAAATCTATTTTTCATTTGCCTGAATAAATATAAAATTTCACTTTTATTTATGAGAATACTACCTTATATATAAATATACGATTAATAACATTCTTATCACATATTTATATTCATTCGTTGTATATTCTGTGTTAATTTAACCGAATTCAATAGACAATTTATTACTGGGCTTAAGACTTTATTAATAAACTCTCAATATCACTTAACTGTCTGCTATTTGTCGTAAAAAAATATTTTTAAATTCTAATTATACTATGTACAAATATAAATAAGATGTATTCAATTCGATATTCATAGTTTCGTGGTTTCTTAACTTCTTCTGTAGTAGAAAGTGTTGAATTAGTTTGATTTAAAATTTGAAGCATAATTTTATATTATTTATAATATTATGAATAGGCTACCAATAAATTCACCATTATTTTGAATTTCTTCACTGCATTATTTTGGAGAATTTGTTAAGAGATTGAAATATTTTATAAAATATCCATATTTATTTAATTTTTTATAAGCTATTTCATTCACTTCACCAATGATTTTCCACTTCCCCATCATTAGCTCATTGAAATAGTAACAAATATAGTTAACAAAAAAAATTCTTTTAATTATCGTTATTATTTCTCATCGTAATAAAAGTTAAATTAATAAATGCAACTTTAACTAGCTTGCATAAATTAATTATTTAACTTATGTCATTTTTGTATCTTTGACTTTTATTTCTACACTCCAGAGCAAAAAATAATCAAGTATATTAAAATAAGATTATTTAAAAATACAATAATAAAAGTAATTTATAAAAATATCGTAGGGAAAATGATGAAGAGTACACGATACGACTTAATATTATTAATGCAGAAATTTTTATCTATATCGTATCATTTGAGATAATAGAAAATCTCGATTTATTTTATTCTATTTAACGGAATTTTTATACGTAATATTATTGATAAATATTTCCAAAACTGATTGCTTTCCTTTAACTTGTTCTATTTCAGCATTAATTCAATCTTCAAATAAATTAATTTCATCAAAAATTTTATTCGTTCATTTTAATTATGAGAAATCACAGAATAACGTCACTTGAAAACAGAATAATAAATTATTGTATAAAATGTATTTTTTCTTAATGTGCATAGAACATTTTTGAGAAAAATTAATAGATTTACAATCGTTCATTTGCTTAAAACATATTTTTTATATAATAATAATGATAATAATAATAATAATAATAATAATAATAATAATAATAATAATAATAATAATAATAATTTATTTTTTAAACCTAATATCTAAATTTTACTTGACATTTCAACTATATTAGCATCGATAGATTCACTATAAATTTATTATAAATATTTTGTAAATTAACAATTGATAGAGGTTTATTTCTCATTTAAAATATCGTAATAAAATTTTAATAATATTGTTTATTATAATTTAAAACGGAGTGCAAAGTGTATGTAATTAAATATTTGTCATTAAATTATGCTTAACAATCATGTATATGTTTCTCTGATTTTTCCTTATTAAGTTTCCGTAATAATTCCTTTGTTGAATTAATAATCGAGATTTTTACTTTACCATATAATTTAAAAAAAAAACATGACACTTTATGCATTGAATATAATAAATGTCTTTAATTGATATTAAATATATATATATATATATATATATATATATATATTCAATGAAGTAAATTGTGGATTATCAAAATTTCAAACGTCTTAGGAATTTTAAAGTAAAAAGTGAATTAGCGCAGATCATGTGAAAATATCATTAGAGTACGTTCATTATGCGAGAGACAGAGAGAAAAATAATAATTTTAGACGTTCTATAAGGATTTTGATGATTAATATAAAGATCAATATTTATCGAAAGGCGTTTGAAGAAAAATGCGACCATACGATGTAATATTTCATTTTAACATATAAGGTAAATGTCACCTCTGACGATGCTTTTCTGAAATATACATCTATATATATATATATATATATATATATTGTTGAACACAGTCGATGCTCGTTGAGCACTAAAATTATCATTAATCGCTCGATGAAATGAACCGGCAACGTACCTTTTCCACTTAATTCGCGCCTGGGGCAGAGTCTCAATAGGATCTTTGATAAGATAAAGCCTGATGCCCCTCATGTAATTCTGAAAGTACGTGTCCCAAACAACATCTCTCATATCCATATAGAAGATATTGCGATCCTTATTGTCCAGCTTGTCAACGAGAGCATGAACGTGTTCGTTCGTGAACGCCCATTCCTTCGTAGTGAAATAGTTAAGGACTTCCATGAATCTGTGGATTTTCTTGTAAACTTTGAGCATCCTACGAAAGGTCAGAGTAAATATTCAGAATCGAGCGACGTTTCGTTGCTAATCGAGAGCCTCGCTTCGGCAATTAAAACAATGCCTACCTTGGCTGCTTGCCAATGCAAATGGTGGCAGTGTCGACAAGCAGAGCCGGCAGCAAATGCAAAAAATAAATGAAAAATAAATGGAGGAACTTGTTTTTGGTATTCCTGAAGCTGTAATACCAAACAGCTCGCGTCGTAGGTAAGTCTAGTCCATACTTTGCCGACATTTCCTTCAGATCGTCCCATGTTATCGGATTGTCCTTGGAGACGTAATTGTAAATCGGTATGTCATTGTTGTTCTTGTTGTTCCTATGAAAAATTACAGTCACGGCATTACATTGTTCTGGTATTATTAATGGGAAGAAATTTAGATTAGCAAGGAATTAAAGTTAGCGAGCCCAATGTTATTTATCAATTCACGTTCGTACACACGCGCTCACGCAGCTCTATACATAACAAAGAAATAAATAACGAAGCTCGACAAAGATGCTCCCTTAATAATGATCATCTTGCCGTAAAGTGACGCGTATCTGAAATGGGCAATGGAAATTAATTGCCTTCGTCGACGGCGCTTAGGAGCGGCGCAGACGTAGAGCAACCCAGCCACTTGTGGAACACTCGAGATCGCTCGTACTCACTTTTTCATCGAGGCGACGTCCCATGCGCTGGCGATAAGGGCGTTGACGGTCATGTCGCCGGGGACGACGTTCGCCTTTATCGAGCCGTCGCAGTGTATGGAGCGCAAAAGTCCAGTTCCCGCACCCGCCGCAACACCCGTCGGCCCGTACATATTGTCGATCCAGCCTCTGATTGGCTCCTGGTACGTCGAGATCACTGGGATTCGATTGTTTCGGTTAGTGGAGATCGTGGCATTGCTGCCTATTTACGGGATCGGCTACATTTTTCGTTTCAAGGAACAAAAAGCCCAAGAGGATAGTGGGATAGTGGGATAGTCGGAAAATTTGCCGCCAATGCGAATTTTAAGAGCCTGACAGCCAATTACGATGGGCGACGATCGTACGCCACTTTTTACTCGTTTATTATTTCAATTAAGAAATATCTCAAAATCTATTTATCTAGACTCGAGCTACCAATAATAAACCGATCGATATTTATTTCATCATTATCATCATTATTAATATTATTATTATTTTGTTGTTGTTGTTGTTGTTGTTGTTGTTGTTGTTGTTGTTGTTGTGTTGTTGTTGTTGTTGTTGTTGTTGTTGTTAATACAACGTTTATTCTCTCGTTGTTACAATCGTATAGTCAGTTTCATTATTTTACGTTTATATCCTCATTATGTTTCGTTTAGGAAATAAGTAGCGATCATTCGATCAATCACAATTTATATTATCCTTTAATTTTCTCACCAAAACGGATAAGGATTGCATGCATTAGGGTAAGAAGTAAAATTGCTCAAGTCCCTCTAAACGTTACTAATAAATAAACCATTTCTCATTAGGATTATACTTGTCAAGTACTTGTGCGTTCATTCGTCGTAAGAGGACAAAAAGGATAATCGTCAGCAATTATAGGATATTGGCAAATTGTACGATTGCTTATCATCGCCTATCATCGATACCAAGATATCGACAAATATATAAAATTTTAATTCAATATACAAACCAATGGCAGGTCTAAATACACCGACTGGTATGTCCGCCCCTTCTTTACGGACAATATCTTCAGCTACGGCTTTTGTGAAGGTATAAGTGTTCGGCCACCTGCCGAGGAGCCTAAAAAATCAATTTTATAATTTTATGAATAACAATTGAGGATAATTTTATCTTGAATTAAAACGTTATAAGCGGCTTGATTTATTTGAAAGTAATTGGCAAAGGAGCCAAATGCTAGTGTTTGTTGGAAATTATTAATGAATATAAAATTCGATCGATTTTTATATACTCCAGTCAATTGCAATGTACGTGTATAATTCAATATACTACATGTGTTTCATGGTATGAATGTAATATTGAAAAAGTTAAGTGGTTGGAAATAAGAGTGCTTACGGTCTGGTTATGTCATCGACGAGCTTTTCGTCCATATTCTCGACCAGAGAGATAAGTTTGTGTCCGTCAATCGGTGAATCATAAAATTTTTCTTCAATTGTATTTTGAATACAATTAGCATAAGCAGTTGAGACATGAATACAAGACTAAAAATATTAATAATAAACATTAATGTAATACCGGGTTAAGGCAGACAGCAAGAAAACAAAAAAAAAAAACACAAAAAAAATACAAAAGCACAATAACACAAAAAACAAAGCAAAACAGCAGATACAAAATGGATAAAAGAAGAAGAAGAAAAAAAATGACAGAAAAAATTGTAAACACGTTTTGTCAAATTTTTTCCTTTTACATGAAAATTATATTTTAAAATATGTTTTTATTGCAATGAAATTACTTCTAAATTTGTACGTATGTTTTCTAACAAATGTTTTTATTTGAAATTTCAAAAACACTCTTTGTCGACTTTTGCTTTATCGAATTATGGACAATTGGCTTTAGGCGAGATATAACGATAAATCGATCAAGCTCGACAAATCAAGCATAATTAATTGTTTGCGAATGCCAATTTTTTAATCGTAAAACGAAAAGCCAAGCAATAACGACACATTGAATTTGTCCCTCCCAACTAACCGAATCCCCATCCGTTTATTTATAAAACATCATATAACTCGACATGACGCTTTTAAGTATATTGGGACGTACTTTGAGCTGCGGCATTTCTTTGCACAAAGTGAGAACATCCCTGGGACTCTGGACATTAATGGCAACGGCGAGCTTGAGCTTCTCGTCGAATCGCACCGTCGCAGCCACATGGAAGACAATCGAGACCTCGCGGATTAGAATTTCCCTATCCGATGGGGAGATCCCCAAGCCCGGGAGGCTGCAATCGCCGGAAATCGCCACTATCTGATGGCGGAATTTCGGCAGTTCTTCCCTCAGTTTGGCAAAGAGCTGCAGGCACAAATCGATAGGTTATACACGTTGTACAGCAAGTGCTAATAAGCCATCAGCCGGCTCGCTAATTATATTCCAGCGATATTTCGAGCGTTAATAATATTTTATTATCAGCGTCGACTGAATAATGGTAAAATAAATGACCGTAAGTTGTAATAACCACGCACAGCCCCATCGTTATTATTGGTACTTGAATTTTATGAAATCTTAATAGCCTAGTTTGCCTTTACGTCGTATTGATTAATTAATAATACGTCGATGTGACTTGTGAATCGATAGATTTATCATATTACGGAGAATTTTAAATAAAAAGTTTAAGGAAAAAAAAACGGAGCGTAACTTTACGAGTTCCCGTGCACGTACGCATACGACGTCATAAAATTATTGATCAACAAACCATCGCCAACATCTTTACAAATTTTCAATTTCAAACTTGTATGGAAAAATAATTCCATATGACGTTAATACGAGCTCGTAAATAAGCATTTATTTTGCATAATCCGACTGCAACGTCGTGTAAGATATTTAAAATTCTCTCTTTACATAAATTGCCGAATTGTTTTCATTATTTTATGTATTCGTTTCATCTTCAATTCTTTCACCTTAATAAAAATGTAATGTACAAGAGATATTAATAATAATATTCTTCCACTTTATAATTTGCCGCTCATGTGCATATTAACGCCGCAGAGAGCTCGGAAATTCCGTAATTAAATCGAGGTTCTATCAATTTCAACAACAATCGATGTATTATTTAGAATTCTCAAGTAGCCTTGAAATTCCACATATAATCGTCGCACAGTGATGCGAAGTTTCTCACTGAACTCTCAAAAATGTTTGAGGGCTCGACATTAAGCCCATAACGATAGAGGGATCTTCGACGTGATCTAAGGCGTGTGAACGAAAGGGTGAGGCGAACGGGAGGTTACTTCGTTAAGATTGTCGGGGTAAACTTACGGGGTCGTCAAAGAGCTCCTCGGTGCGCTGGTGCACATCCTTGCCCTTCTTGGGCCGCACCAGCAGGTAAATGAAGGCGATGCCGGGGCAACGACGCAGTAGCTTCTCCACGAGAAGTTTGCCCATGAATCCGGTGCCCCCGGTTATAAAGATACTTTGGTCAGCGTAGAATTCCTGGAGCCGGGTGAGCTCGACCTGGCCCTCCTTCTCGTTCTGCTGCGGCAGTTTCGGCGGACATTCCGTGGGCGTGTGGGCGCGTGAACCGCCGCTTTCCGCGACCACGACATCCTGGCCGCCCGACTCCATCAGTACCTCGACCATCCTCACTGCGATTGCTTCTGAAAAATGGAACGGGGTAAGGGGGATTAGTCGACACCGAAATAAAATTAAACACCATCTTCTAATTCATGAAAATTGCATCCTTCAACATTTCAATTATCACTGTGCAATCGAACTCTTTCGTTACTTATAAATAAATTCGGTAGTGTAAATGCCATTAAAATAATGATCTTCCCTTTATCTAATTTCACTCCTTATTTACTGTAAAATATTAATCCAAGTTTTTAGTCAATTTATGTAATAATAATTACATAATGTTAAATAATATGATATATATATATATATATATATATTTATATAGATGAAAATCCAAGAAAATGTTGAATGTGTAATTTATTCTATAACTTCGAAAAGCAATAAATACGTTAAGTATGAGCCATTAGTATTAACTTTCTTAATAATGCTTAAAATCATCAAATGAATGAATATTAAAATCTTTTCAATACGGACGTCTTTAACAATTTTCTAAATTTTACTACAATTTATTCAATAATTGCTTGTATTACATATGACCGACGGGAAAATCATATTCTACTTTCAAATTGCATTTTTATGCGTTTTTTAAAATAGAAATTGTAGTATGTCATTCATCATTATAGTTATCTCGCCGTCATAAATTTCATGTAAATCATTAATAATTAACATTCTTTAATATGTAACAATTTATGGAAATCACGATAATCAGATTCAAAAGTGTGTATGACAATTCTTATGTAAATAAATTGAAAAAAATAAGAAGTAGAAACTTATATTTAATCGTTTTCAATATTTATCATTTAAATTGAGTTATTAAATATTTCAGTAAGTAGCTGGTAATTATGTTATTAAATTCTATATATATTTGTTGAATTATAAATTGTTTTTTTGTGTGTTTTGAATGAAAAATATAATAATTTTTCAAATAAGACAAATTGCTATAAAAACAGGTTTCATCCGTTAGTGTACAAAGCTATTTTTTATTAAAATAAAAACTGTATTATTAGAAAATTTTGTTAAAAAATATTTGTGTCATAAATTAAAATAATTTTATTATAAAATTATTTCTTTACTATGTAACGTTAAGAAGTGGAGCTATTAATTCTTCAATAATATATTATAATAAATGTAAAGAGACATTAAGATATTCTTTTATTTCAAAATTTCAACAACCCCGTATAAAACAATATTTAATTAATATTCCATTAATGGTGCATATATAGACGTATATAAATTAAAATTGATTAGGTTTGGTATGACATTTAAATTGCCTCCTTCCTATACTTCAATTATAATTCTTGATTATAGTTTGTTTTTATAAAATTTGGTTAATGATTTATTTACATTTAAAACATGCATTTACGTTTAAACTAATATTTACTTATGAACTTATGCATTAGCTGAAAAATATTTAAAAATACTGGCGCATTTTACGTATTTGTTCATACTTTCTTTTCTTTTCTTTTTTTTTTAAATAGAATGTACGAAGCAAAGATATATTTTTAAATGCAAATCTTCTTTCATTTTCAAAACAAAGAAAGTTTATGGTAATTGTAACGATCCGCTGTACAATTACTAAATCCAAGGGAAATTCTAAGGTAAATTCCAAAGTCGTAAATAAAAGTATAAAACGGAGCTGAAGCAATAATTCGAAGTCACAAAATCTTTGTAAATTATATTCAGTTTAAAAAAAAAAAAATAAAAAAATAATAAAAAAAACAACTCTCAGACAATACGAAGAGGCCTAGACTACCATTAAGAAAATTAAAATGTAAAAATACATTCAATGCGTATCCTTATTACCGACATTGAAATTTCCCTTTGTCGTTCGCGAGTCGAGTAAGTGTCGGTCAGGTTTCAACGACCGTCTGACTTTAAATTAATTAATTACGTAGAGCGTTTAAAAAACATCGATCTGTATATTTACATAACCAATTCGATCGTAAAGAGAAATGGAAAGCCTGTGAAATGCTTGAAGAAATAGGAAAACCTCAACGTGCGCGTTCTCTTCGCTGATACCGCGACGAAATGTAATCGCTTCGTATGTAACTAACGTCTACATACGTAAATGCTAGTTCACGACCCAACGAGATAATGTCTATTATCAAAAGGAGACTGCACCCTGCTATTATGCCATTATATCCAACAATTTTCTCATTTAATGTATCCAGATCTACTTTGTTTTGACTAGATAAGATCGACCTTATTTTCATTAGGCATTTTGCGTTCAAAAACCTTCATACTCATACTCGTACCGTTTTCCCAAAGCTATTAACTTATTTAACGAAATTTCATACTATTCGAGCAATATTATATGAGTATATCTAACGATAAGTAAAATATTTTTCAATTTTTTTTATGAATGATTTTAATGTGAATATTATTTGTATGTAAAATGAGTCATATTTAGTTGGAAGGAAATTAATTATGTTTCTTATAAATTAATCTTAGCAAGAATAAATCAAATGCCTATAAACAAATGCGTCTCTTCTTTTCTAAATGCCTTGTAACTTAGGAACATTAAAACAAAATTTTTGAAATATAATCATTTTATTTAAAAAAAAAAAAAAAAAAAAAAAAAAAAAAAAAAAAAAAAATACAAATAAGAAAAAACTTGTGAATATATTATGTATATAAATAAATAATATAAATAAAAGTTGTTAATGTATTTCTTTAAATGACTTTAAAGATACAACAGATTGGATAATTCTTAAAACTCTTTAAATAAAATTCACCTAATCATCAAACTTACTAACTTCCGTATACATAATTGATATAAGCAAATGAAATATACTTTAATCAAAGATATGTATGATTTCACAGAAAATACCTTAAACTAGATTGTTTACCAGAACGAGAAACACGAATAATATTCGATAAATAAATCATTGCTGCGTACTAAAAATATTTATCAAGACTATTCGTACTCTATACGTGCACATGCTTATTTCAATAGATAATAATTATGACAGCACAGCAATTTTTTATGTATATAATTTTTTATGCAAGATGAAACTTTGTACTTTAAACATTATAACCATGATTATTTTCCAATAAAATCATTTGAAATAATGAAATTATTCTTAAATAATAATAATAATAATAACAATGACAAATAAGTTTATTAGTAACTAAGATTTAATCGATTCCATATAAAGTCAATTGGCATAAGCATACTATTTATAAACATATATAAATATATATATATATATATATATATATATATAACTGTGCTTTATCGCAGAATAATTATCCTATAAAATTCCATCATTAAATAGATTGAGCTTATTTAATTTAATTTCGATTTTGGAGTTCTTTTTTTTTTTTTTTTACATTACTCAGTAATGAGCACGTCACACATACCAGACGTGAGGCATCGCGTCAAGTGAAAGTTGATCCTGAACTTCACCAGTTTATTCTTCGAAAAAATTAATCGATAATTCATCGAGCCATTTAAGCGGGTAGGTTATTTATTTATTATGAAATGTTAACATAATATGCCCCTTATAAGACAATGAGAATTTTGTAAAATTACTCTTACACGCACCATTACTATTACATTAATTGTATTCATATATTTAAACATCTTTATCGAAATAGTAGAGAAATAAACTTCATTGTACTTATCAAATATTATTGTAAGCATATTTTATTAAACTAACTAAATGTATTTTATTAAACTAACTATATAAAGACTGACTGATAAATATTTTGAGTGCGTTATATAATTGATTCTCTTAATAATTATTCTCGCGTTTTCATCAAAATAATTAATTATGAGTTTCAATTAAAACGTATGCCCATTCTTATTGAATAGTTATGATTGTTAATGATGTTTTTTTTTTATAAATACATAATATTGTTTAAATTAAAAAATTTATATTTAAAAATAACATGTCGAAAAGTATATTTCGAAGAATTAATTTCGACAACTATTAATTACAAATATCCGTTGGAAAATAGAACATTACTCGGTAAGTAATTCACATAGAAAAAAAGAAATAAAAAAACAAGAATATATTGAAAGAATATTCATGCGATGGTTATTTAATAATTAAACCATACGATCGATGAAGTATACATGCGTCATTTCCTACTTCATAATGAGGGAATTCTCAAAAGAGAATAACGGTGCTTGGAGATAGAAAATATTATTCCACGAAATAAAAAAAAGATGAAAAAAAAGTTCAAAAACACGTGCCGTTCTGTGCAAAAACAACAGTAAGCCGAAAAAAAATTCATTTAAATTTCAAATTATTCAGGATCCACAAGATTCATTAAGCAAAAGATAGTGATAAATTTCAATTCAGCAAATGTGAGAAAAGTTATTATAGGTATTTATAAAGATAATTTTGGCTTCATTTGTACGAACTATTAAACTTATCGGTAACTTTTAGAAATTATTTAGTAAAAAATGTAAAAGACCTTGTGCAGACACGTAATAAATACAAATTTAAATAATTTCTTATCAGATTTATAAATCTCTACTCGTATATATTTACCGCTTGTGTTATTCATTAAACATATTACAAACAAAGAAATTAAATTAATAATGATTTTACATTATATATTCGTAATTCAAATTAAAGTCTATATGATTATAGTGTAATCTAAATAATTTATAATATTCATGTGTTTATTAATACGTAATAAAAAGTGATCGGAATAAATAATTATAAATAATGAAATTTCGAATTAAGCATTCTTATGAAAAAATTGTATTTAATGGCACATACGCGGTAATGAAATATTTATATTTAAAGGAAGAAATATACTTGCAGAAACAAAAATTAATTTAAAAAATGATCTTATCTTACAAGGTAGGGAAATGAATTACTGGCTATCATTTTAAAGTATTAGGATTGATTTTTAAGCCCATAGAAACACGTTTTAGCACAAATAAAATACATTTTACGAGAAATATTTAGAATAGCAATGAGTCGGTACTATTTTGACTATACTTAAAGTTATTAAGTAAAACGATAATAATTTCTCTTACTTGTGTAAGTCAAGCTTCTCATTG